CCGCTTTTAATTTTTTTTCTCGTATAAACGCGGAAAATAGTTTTGACCTTTAAAAAAAACAGCGAGTTCCTTGTTGGAAGACATCCATGTACTCAAACAACTAGTGATCGAATTAATTATTCATCAGAATTTGTTCAAAACGATAGCGGACGCTTTAGAAAGAAAAAAAAAAGGTTTCCAGAATTAATTGCCTCTCACAAAAATCCGATCTCGGCAAGGATTTGTCAATATCGTCAACTTCCCATGAGAGTTGAGCATTGATACTTCGTATTTCTAAACCTTACAATATCGCTTTGTTTATTTTTAAACTCGTGAATGCGGAATTTAGTTTAAGACGTTTAAGCTCGATTTGATAATGATAATAATGATGATGATAAAAAAAAAACCAGCGAATTTCTTGCTGGAAGACACGCACCTAGTAAACTCAAACAACTATTAAATCAAATCTCCGTAATGAAGCAAGTGCACTTTTAGGAGCCTAAAATACATTTAAGTCAACACATTTTGGGACTTTAGCATTAGATTTCTATAGTACTTTTAAATGCAAAAACTATTAAGCAATGCAAGTAAATATAGACCAAGCATAATTATTTTAATTGCAACCTTTTTGACGAGCTACCCTTTCTAAAAATAAAAACAAATCATATATTTTCCCGATGTGATGAAATTGATCGATTAAAAACCGTTGTCTGGGACAAACAATTATTTCAACTGCATTCAAAAATACCAAAACAAAAGACACAATGAATTGATAAAGTTCCTGTTTGGGGGTATAAATAAGAAGTTTTAAGACTAAAGTTTGAGCTGCGTGGTATTCCCAATGCGAAGAATCAAACTGGCTTAAAGGTAAGAATGAACTATGTCAGTTAGTCATCAATACCAATTTATGTCCTTGCATTAATATTTTGTGTAGGTCTTTTTTTTATGAACATCTAAGTTTATAAGTATCTAAAGGTCTCAAAAACTTTTTGGTGTGTGACCATTATAAGCTTAACGAAATAAGCTTATTTTTTGGAGTATTTCTGTGCAAAAATTTTTTAATTTCCTCAAATCTTTAATTTTCTATGCCCAGTCAAAATACGGAAAATCGGCCGCCATCTTGCCCCACGACCGAGTTTAAAGAGGAATGGCTCTAGTGGGTAATGTGACGTCAAATCGAGAACACGAAAGTCTGCATTTCACACATTTTCACTTGTTTGGGAAGGTTGTAGTCGATAATTGTCCGAAAATATGCCGACTAAGTGTGTTGTAGAAGGATGTAGCAACGTGCGAAATTTGCAAGAGGGTATCGCGCTTCATACATTCTTCATACAACACACCTAGTCGGCATATTTCGGACAATATCGACGACAATCTTCCCAAACAAGTGAAAATGTGTGAGATGCAGACTTTCGTGTTCTCGATTTGACGTCACATTACCCGCTAGAGCCATTCTTCTTTAAACTCGGTCGTGGGGCAAGATGGCGGCCGATTTTCCGTATTTTGACTGGGCATAGAAAATTAAAGATTTGAGCAAATTAAAAAATTTTTGCACAGAAATACTCCAAAAAATAAGCTTATTTCGTTAAGCGAAAAAAAAATTTTGGGTTTAGGTGCACTTTAACATGTGTATTGAACCTACAGTCACTCTGAAAGGTGACACCTAGAATGCTCACATAAGTACAACTAGGGATCCCTAACACAGGAGGGTACAATTCATGATTGCCTTTCAAGGACTGTAAGCTCCTTACATTTGCTGGGGTTAAATAACATTCCATTTTTTCTATCCACTCTAAGAAATGTTTGACCAATGTCTCAGACATGTCTTTAAATTGTAAACAGGAGCAATGATATTTGAAACAGCAGCATACTAGAATAACACTGGCAGGGTATCTAAATAGATCTCTAGATCATTTATAAAAATATGGAATAG